TTCCAACCTGTGGTCAGATCCAACCCATGGTCAGTTCCAACCCGTGGTCAGTTCTGTGGTGCCACTCGCTGCTGCACTCACCAACCTGTGGTCAGGTACCAGGTGGCTTATTACGCTCTAGAGTTACTCTTTTTTTTAATGTTATTTTTTTTATTTCATTATTTTTTGTGCATGTACCGTCAAATCAGATCTGACTGATACAGGAGGAGATTGTTCCTCCTTCTCCAGCAGAGCATCTGGTGGATTCGAACCGTGCATCTCTGAGATTGCAGTTGCAGCTTCTTGTCACTAGGCCACCAGAGCTTGTTAGTTACTCTTTTTTAAAAAACAAAAACATTTTATTATTTAAAAAAAAATTATTACTTTGTGTGTGTGTGTACCATCAAATCAGATCTGACTGGTACAAGAGGAGATTGCCCCTCCTTCTCCAGCACAGCATCTGGTGGATTTGAACCATGAACCTCTGGGATTGCAGTGCAGCTTCTTGCCACTAGGCCACGAGAGTGCCATTAGCATTAGTGTTTATTTTCTTGTTTTGTCGTGTCCTTCAGTCCCTCCACTTGAAGGCCTGGGCAGCACTTGAACGTCTGCTCCAAGAGGATGGGTCTTGTCCCTGCTGCATCTTCAGTGTTTGGAAGGTCCTGGCACACAGGAGGTCCTCTGAAAACACCACCGGTTCTTGCCTCAGCCTGGAGACTTCAGAGGTCTAGGGCCTTCCCTATGGGAAGCCAAACTTTATACCAAGTATTATATGAAAACACTTGTTCAGGAATTGAAAGAATTACAGATGTATAAGTTAGGATTTCTCTTGTGGCAGATCCGAGAAAAATGAGCTGTTTGTTCCCTGCAGACAGGAGACAGCAAGGGGCCCCCTACAGAGGGAGTGTTACTTCCTGAGCTAGAGTTCACCCTGAGGCATCAAGGTTAATAGATAAGGGTAAAACCAAATTCTTGCATTTGTGAATCCCTCCTTCCTGAGTCAAGCAGAGGGTTTTCAATAGAAAGAGCTTGGCTTCATTTGCATTGACTTCTCTTTGTGATTTACTTCCTGATTATTTTCAATAAAGATACAGTGAAGCTTGGCTTGGGGTCTTCAGTCGAGAACTGCTGCCCCCCTGTTTTATACTCTCTGCTCTATCACATTCCTGGCTGTTTGTCTCACTATTAATAATTATAAAATTATTCCATTCTTTGGGACCCTCGGTCTGCAACACTTCCCCAACTCATCAAGCTCCATATTCTCACTGCTGCTGAAAGATGCCCACAGTTCCGTCTATCCCTCTCCTGGGTCCCACCTAAACTTTCCTTCTTGAGTAGATGCCTAGACACTCAGCAGAGGGTACAGAGAAGACCCTCATCGCCCAGTAGTGAATCTGACGTTTGCAGAAAGTCTGGTTAAGTGAAGTTCAATGGTGCACTCTGACCTCAGCCTCAGAAGCAGCTGGATTCACGTCTTCGTTCTATTACACATCAGCTGTGTGTCCCACAACAAGTTGCTTACTGTCTCTGGGCTTCACAAAATTTTTCTGTGAAAGGATTCTAATCGTGTCCACCTCAAGGGCATTTGGGAACATGGAATGAAATCACCACTGCAGAATGCTTGCCAAACAATGTTAGGTTTAATCATGTTAAATTGTTGATGTTCAATTGTTTTTAACAACAACAAAACCTTGGAACCTCATGTGATAAAATATAACAAAAATCAGTAACATTCTGCTAGCCAAAAGAAGAAAACAGGTGAAAGACACAAAGCAGTAAGACTAGAAATAAAAAGAAAAGCAGTCCTAACAGCGTTGTGTAGGACTTCTCTACAGATCCACTCACAACCAGGAAGAGTGAGTGCTTTTCTAGAAGAACACAAATGATGAGAATGGAAATATAGTGTGTACTCAATAAATAAACACCGGTTCCTAGTTCTTCACCAAAGACGCCCTTCCTGCTTACCATGCCCTGACTCTGGTCCCTGCCTTACCTGGCTGTAATTAGCATCTTTCTTTGCCTGTGTTTCAGCTCCTCGGGCTGAACCAAGATCCTCCCCACAACATCATTCTGTCTTCTCTCTCCAATGTTTGACTTCTCTTAGGTCTCTCCTCTCCTCTCCTCTCTCTCTCTCTCTCTCTCTGAGTCTCTCTCCCTGTGTCTCTCTCTTTCTCTCTCTCTCTCTCCCTCTCTGTATGTCTTTCTCTCTCTCTAGAACAAACATCCCCACAGATGCTGAGAAGGCATCCAGCAACATTTGCTAGAGTTTTTACAAACCCTTTCTAAATAGACACAATGAACACCTTCTTCAGACTGGGGACACAGACACATTCCCTGAGTCAGGGACAAGGCAAGGGTGAGCCCTGACACCACAGTCACTGGGTGGCATTCTGGAGGACATCTCTCTAAATGAGAGGAAGATAGACAAGAAATAAATTGCTATCAGAGAGGACCAGTAAATCCCCAATGCATGCCGACTGTGTGAAAGCTCGGGGGACGGGTGGACCGAGGCCAGGGGAATGGCTGATTTACAAACGAATACAAAATAACCAGAGTTCCTTTAGCCAAGCAGTGAGAAAACAAAATGGGGAAATTCCATTTAGGAGGAAAAAAAGGCAGCAAATATTTTAAACATCCTTGAACTAAACCTACCAAGAGCTGTGCTGGCCCTGCCAGCTACCATTGCTGGGCCCTGCAGGAGTCACAGTCTGGGAGGGCTCACCCTGGGGTTCTTGCCAGAAAAGGGTCCCACCATCTCTCCACCTTCCCCCAGTTTCACTTCTCTTCTCTTTCTTCCGTCTGCCCTCTCCCCTCTGTCTCCATCCCTTCTCCTTGAAGACAGTGACACCTCACTCTCAGAGCCACCTTGATGCTGTCCCCACCCAACCTGCTGACAGACAGGTTTCAGGGTTCTTACACTGTTCCTGCAACACCTTCATGTCCCTGAGACCACAGCCTGCTCCTCTCCCATCCCCAAGTTTCCTGGACACTAAGCAGAGCGCGGGCAGCTCCCACAGAACACCTGTGCCCTGAGGCACCCTCAGCAGTGACCACACTTCCATCCACTCAATGGGTCAGCTGCCGCTCGCCATCCTTCCCACCTGACTTCTCTGAGAACTCTCTCCTCCTTTCCACCTTAGTGCTCCATGTCCCAAGAGGACCGGCCAGAGTCAGGGGGTACAGAACAAGGGAGAGGCCCTCACTTGTCTCTTCAGGGATGGTCCTTCAATGCTGCATGGAGTTCTGTCAGAATCCAGAAACAAGACACGTTATGTGGTACCTCTCTGCCTCTCACACACCTTCCCTGCCTTCCGACCACAAGGACAGTTTCAGTCCAGGATGTCCCCAACCTGGGATGCAGAGAAGCGTTCAGAGCTGAAGGCAGCCACACAGCCTATCCCCACTGGGCCATTTCTCAAGGGCAGGTGTCATCTGAAGCAGACTATTTACACCTCACGCTAAAAAACAAGGCCCCAGGAGTTGATCGGGTACCAATCGACATGCTCCAGATAACGGAGGCAGCCCTGGACACGCTCACCAGTCTGTGTCAGGCAAGTTGGAAGACAGCTACCTGGCCAACTGACTGGGAGAGATCCCAAACTCCTTTTATTTGGTAGTGGTATAATCACTGCCTACGTGCAGAGAGAGGACGTGCTTATTGTTAGTTTTTGTTGTGTGAGGATCATACCCAAGGAAATGTGTTTGATAGAAGCCTAGATGCGACGTGGGATTAAAGGATTTGTTGCTGAGGGACCACTGAGATGATCAAGCAGTTCTTCAACATCACAGCACACGGGTCTGCATTTTTTGGACAAGGCGTCCTGGGTACCACGGCTACTGGTTCTTATCGTTTAACTGATTCAGTCTCTCTCCTCCACTGTGAGGCCTGTTCACCCAGAGGGCAGCACCGAGCATGCTCAGAAGCAGGGGCACCTTCAGGAAGACCAGGAGCAGGAAGTGGACGCTGCTGAGCAGAGACCTGTGGGGACAGAGTGACAGACAGTGAGCTGTTTCCTCAGAGAGACTCCCTGGAGCCTCCTTTCCCCCTGTCCCTGGGCTCGGGTTCTGCATCCACAATAATCTACATCAGGACCAACTCCAGGAGGTTCAAGGACAGGACAGGCCCTCTCCAACAACTGACTTTATATTCGGACCCTGGCCCTTAACGAGGGACCAAAGAGTCTGACCATAGGGATGATGACCCTAAAGTCAACCTGCATCTTTGACAATCTCCCCAAAGATTAGTGAGCTGTGTACTGAGCAGGAACTAAGTAATTAGGTATGTAATTAGCAAATAAGGGGCCGTCTGGGAGAAGTCACTCAGGTGGCCCCTGGAGGGCAGTCTCAGATGATGGACTCTTACTGTGTGTGTGGTCTGGGGTCAGAGGTGTCCTGGCTGGTCAAGCTGGCCCTAGTACGTGCTGACAGGGATATAGAAGGCCCAGGGGTCGTTGTGGAGCTCTCAGGACTGGAATCTGTGGTGGGAGAGGAGGTGGAGAGCTGGTCAGACCCACTGCCTCTCTTAGGTTACCTGTCCACCTGGGAAGCTCATGCTTCTGAAGGAAGAGGCTGTGCTGTGCACAGAAGAAAATGGGTCTATCTTGTCCCATCCTGGAAGACCTAGGAGTCGCTGCCCACCACAAGGAGACAGAGGGGTTCAATGACACACCAGGGTTTGACCATCCTGGACACACCCACAGTTGAGTCACTCAACAGAGGCTTCACAGACCATGAATAAATAGGGGCACGCGTGCCCGCACATGCACACACACACACACACACACACACACACTCACTTACCTGGGTCAACTGACACTCTAACCTGGACTGCAAGGTCAGGTCCACTTTTCTCAATCCCACACCAGTAAACGTCTGCATCATCCTCTCTGAGCTGCTCCATGGTCACGGTGAATGTTTGGTCTTTCTGATTGTCCTTGATGGACACACGGTCCTTCTTCACCTCCTGCTCTGATCCTGTGGTTCTAACAATGAATTTGCAGCTACTCCAGACAGCGCCTCGACACCACCACTTGACATGGGTCTCCCATACTGAGTTATAATCACACAGCACGGTCAACGAGCCTCCCTTCGGGCCACGTGCTGCACTGGGAGCCTGCAGGGTGGAGAAGCCTGGAAAACACGAACCCATGTCCTGCTTGAGGAGAGGTCCACAGCCTCCCACAGTGGGAA